TAGTTAAAATATGGGGAATGATTTTATCACAAGTGTATTCTATTGTGATATTAATTCTATTACAGAGCTCAGTGTTATCTTTGTGCCAAAATATTTTCTGTTTTATTATTTCTTTAGCCAAAAAGTTTGGTACTCTTGATGCTGCAAATGCAATGACAAAGTATAGAAGAATATCGGTTTAAAATTGGATTCCAAATTTAAAATATAATGAGGTGAATTAATAGGAAGGGAAAACACTTTTTTTATGAAAAATATATTTAGTTTTTCGACTTCCTCAAAACTATATTGTATATGTTGGGTATATCTAGCAAATTCATTAATGCTCTTCAAAATATTTACAGACATACGGAATCTTGTGTGTGGACCAATGGCGGCGTCATGGAGACTTTTAAAACATCAGTAGGCTTGAGGCAGATTGTTTGTTTTCACTGTTTATAAACGATTTCTTTGACTTTATAGGTGGAGGAATTCTAGTAGGAGGTGTAAATATAAGGTATCTAATGTACGCCAATTATATATTGTTTTGATTGCACAGGAACCTAAAATTCTCCAAATGATGATAAATAGAGTAGCGTAGTACAGTAGTTTATGGAATTAGTCAGTTAACATGGAAAAAACTAAAATTATGATATTTCACAATGGGGAAAAATTAGGAAAGAATGAACCTCTATGCAACCTGAAAACTCATTTTTAGATAAGTTAAACATCTCAAAATTTGTAATTAATACAGTCTATAATAGCATATTAAAAAATAATGAAATATCATTATCAAATAAAGTTGTATGTTTACAATGCTGCCGAGCGATTAATAATTTGTTACGCTTGCCAAGTTTAGGGATATCATAGTTTTTTTCAGAATATCTATATTGGAAATACATTTCATTAATAATAACATTTAATTCTATAATATGACAGAGCTACAATTTCAAAAGTCCGTGCTTAATAAAATATTCCAGATGTATTGATACCACTGGCATCCACGTTATGGCTATATTTTCAAATTAATTCAGTAACATAAAAAAATCTAATATAATTTAACTCTAAAACCTATTGTAATATTCTGTATTTCACCAATTGCACATTGCTTCTCTTCATTCTCCGCAATTCTTTTGTAATTTTAAACCATTTGGACTGAAATCAATGTCTCTACAATGCCATCATACCTATCCTCTGCCATAAATTTTTCTTCCGAAACTTGTAGATTATCATTTTTGTAAATGTTTTCAGTAACGTGAACTGCATGACTTTTTTCTACTTCTTTATATTTATTAAAACTTGTTCCATAGAATGTAGCAACCTCTCCAACTTCCAACTGTCTAGGTATGATTACTTTAATTTTTAGAGTTACATTGCTTTAAATAATTCATTTTGAGACTTTTTTTATTATTCGAAAAGGTTATACAATATTTAGTATTTCAGTTGGAAACTCCAAAGGCTTCACTATCATGAGTGTTAAATTTTTAGAAAGCATGATGTTGTGCATACAATTTAGTAAAACAACTAGAACACCTTTGGAACCAAAATAATTCTAATTTTTTAAAAAGTATTCAAACCATATGTCGATAGTCAGTTTTTGTTTTGCTTAGGGACCATATTTTTTTATTACACTGTTAAAATTGCATTACATGATAAATGCACATTGTTCCAAATCTTCATGGTTCGTATACAAATATTTAAACTTTAGTTTTATACGTGTAAATAAAGATTATATCGTTTGTAATCTTAAAAACATCTTAATGTTTTCGTCTGTTTTTTCAGTTATTAATAAGGCTGGAATTCTGAATGTGCCAGATAATAATATATGATCTATGGTAACATATGCAAATGCAGCTATATAAATAAAAGAAAAGTATTTTAACAAATACCTACTGGAAAATTACCAATTAAAGATCGACTTCTGATTATTAATAGTGTGTTTGCTACAATACATGAGAGTGGGGTATCTCAGTACTTCCAATGCTCAAGGTCCCAGGTTTGAATTCTGGCTCATGGCAGAAAAATTATTTATTCTGTTTCATCTGCCGTGGGGTGATCCTAGGATCAGGAGTCCCTCCTGGGGCCCGCACACCCGGGAAAAACCTGTGGTTTAGTGTGATCTCGGTCAAGTCACATCCTTGCACGACTGTTGATCAAGAAACGGTAATTTCCCTAAGTAAACACTACTGAACCCAAGACCTTTCATTTTTTTTTTTTTGTTCACAGTTGTAATGATACAGAGTTTTTTTGTTATATTTGCTACAAAAACCCAAGAAAAACGGTAAAAAAAAAAGTAAATATTGTGAACATCCCATAAATCTTGAAAGTAAGTTTGCTATGTTTAAAAATCAATAAAATTTGTTTACTTTTAGGTAACTTTCCAATTATTTTATTTTTATTATTTCTTCAGTCATGGAAAAAATAAAAGTGACAGTTCATTTGGAAATGAGCTTGATATATTTTGATAAGTATATAGTAATTAAGGAGTACATTTTAATTAAACAATAACATTTTGTGTTCATTCTTCCAAAAGTTTATTATACATCAGATAACCAAATATGGTGTCAAAACTGAAGGATTAAAATAAATTCCAATGAATCACCGTTACCCTTCGCTGTTAATCTATTTCTGTCCTACAGAATCCTATAATAATACTCCACTTTTACCTGTTGAACATATTTGCTATCTAGGACTCCACCTGGACAAACATTATATTTTGGATCCTCATACAACAATGAAATAACAAGAAACTATGCGACATTTCTGGCTTCTTCAACACTTATTAGACAAATGTTCCAAGCTTCTAATTAATTACAAAAACACCAGTTATGAGACTATGATATGTCTATATGGACTTACAGGGTTGAGCTTAGGAGCTCCTCTAAACTATCAAAGTATTTTCATACCTAATTATTACTATCCAAAATCCTTCACAAGTTTTGGAGGCCTCTTAGAACAAAAAAACTCAGAATAGCATTAAGGAGAGCAACATAGAAGCCATAAATTTAACTTTTGCTTTTTAGATTAGTTAGATTATTTTATGGAGAGCATTTTTGAACTTTTAGGTCATTTTCAAAATATTTACATTATGATATTTTAAGATCTCTGGTCCTCTTTGCAGTTCTGGACCATGGGTGCTTAATCCACTTACTGCTTAATTCACCCATGCTTTAGATATGTTATAAACTTTTAACTTTTTTCATTATATCAATGAATCAATGCTTGTGACTGCAATGTCTTTATTATTTTTATGATACTACTATATTTCTATTTTAATGCTTCATTGATATATTTTATTAATAATACACAGGAAGAGAAGCAAAAGAATAATCATATTGTAGTTTTTATTTTTTTATTGTTTTATTTATTATATAAAAAATTGTGAAACTGTTGGTCTAGAAATTAATATAATATCAGACAATTATTTTAACAGACAAAAACAGAAAGTTTAGGAAGTAATACATGTCTAAGAACTAGACAAAAATGTTTTTAGCACTTATGTAGATGATTGATATTATTTTGAAGGATCCGATTTCGCATTTGTTATATTATTTAGTTGACATATTTCTAGTATAAACTATTAACTTCTTCATTAACCCTTTGACTACAGATGGGATACATGTCTTCCCTTAAGAGTTGGGTCACTGGTGCAGACGGAATATATACCTTCTCAGTAGTGAGTTGTGTCACTGATGTGGCCGGGATATATGCCTTCCTGCCTGGGCGGTCGACACTTAAACAGGTAGGGGCAAGTCCTGCCTTCACCATTTGACTTGTGGCTTAGTGGGTGCATTCATTAATCCTCTGTAGCTGACTCAGTGCGGTCGTTCCGGATTCTGACCATTTGGAAGCTATCAGTTGCAGATTTATTCTGAATCCAAGATATGTCCTTTCTCTGTTATTTGTATCATACCTATGATCTTATTTATATTATATTTAAATGTTATTTACATCAAATAAATGTTTTAAAAATAAAGTTAATTTTATACTTTTTTTTTGGAATGAATGCTGATTTTGGTACACATGAATCTTTGTCTACTAAACAAAAAAAGGAACTTTCCTTTAATTTTGTATATATATATAATATGATAAATGACTGTAAAAATATATAAAAATTAAAATTTAATAATAAAAATTATTAAATGTAAAAATATATAGAATTAAAATTATACTTAAGTTATTTTATACTTTTTCCATCCACCTGAAAACAATGTATATATTTCATATAATATAAAAGTGTTTGAAACTCAAAATAAATGTTCAATAATAAAATTTATATCTGTGGGTTGATGGTTGACTGTTGTGAATAATTGAAGAGAAGGATGCTTGGGGTGATCAGTCAAAATGAAAAATAAACAATAATATTTATTTTTACATTTTCCGACATTTCAGCACAATGTCGAAACGTCAGAAAATGTAAAAATACTCTCAGGGAAATCTCTGATATCCCTTTCTCTTCAAAATTTATAACTGCACTATTTTCAAGATGGAACTTATTTAGATAAGAAAAAAAATTTGTAAATACAAAGAATTATAATTTCGAATCCAGCCGTCGGTGTTCTTTTTTTTATGAATAATATAATTTAATTTTTATGATCACTAACAGTTATTTTTATGATGTTTTTTAGTTATTTTGCTTTTCAGAAATGAGCAAATATGCAAGAAATTGAAATGTTGTGGAATTTCCACTCTAATTTTGCATTTCTAGGTGAGGCCAGGAACTTCTTGTCAGGAAGGCATATGTTCTGTTTATTAAAAGTTGCATAAAAAGGTTAAAATGCAGTTTTGAAAGCTAAGATCTTGCAGAGTGATTCAAATTAGCATTTTAAACAAATTTATGCAAAAAACAAATCCGTTTTTCTGGACGTCTTTTTGGATTTCAGGTTGCAACATCTGGTAGAAACACAGGAATGAGCTCCCGCAGTCAAAGGGTTAACCAAATGTTGGTACAACATTAAAAATTTAAATACTAATAGCATTAGAAGTTAGTTGGGGTGTGGTCATAAATGAAACTGCACAGAAATAAGAAGCCTTACTTTATTGTGTGGCGATCTTTTATGGCCTATGTTTTATGCCTTCATCAGAGTGAAATTTATCTTAATACTTAATAATAACTATTTAAAAAAAATGAATATATTCAATATCTAGAGATTCTAAAAAAAATATGTTGCAAGATAAATACAAGATTTAAAAAATAATAATAAAAATAAATAAGGTCTAATTTACTATGAATTAGTTGTTATTTATTCACATATTCATTAATAAAACAGTTTTTTGACTTCCCTAGGCTCAAAGAAAGCAACAGTTTACATTATTAAGCCTCTTTTGATTTTATTGATGGTAAAACATGTATACATAAAAATTATAATACATTCAAAAATATAAAAATAAAACTGTTGCTAACTAATGACTGACATTTGTTTTTCTACATAATTTTGAACTTTCATTTAAAGTCTTATTGGAATAATTACCAATTATTTGTCCAACATGCAAAGAGTATCACATTCAGTATAAAGATTTTATTAAATTTTGAAGTATAATAAAATATTAAAGAAGTGTGAAACTACATTATGGAATTAATATATACTTAGTCTTATAAATTTAACAATAACTAGGAAATAATCCAAAAATTAATTTTAAAATTTTCTATACAGGTATAAGATTTCTGAAAATAAATACATGGTGTATTAGCATGAAAGATTTATTACAAGAGATTGAAAAGAAGAAGAGAGATGAGAGGGACTAAAGAAGCCTTAAGAACCCAGGCACCAGAATGCATCATAGAAGCAGTTTCCCTGGAACAGAATTTCATAGTTAGTATTTTATAAAAGAAATAGGTGTGTTAAATCTGATCTTAAAAAAAATGTTAAATCTGATCTTAAAAAAAATGTTAAATCTGATCTTAAAAAAAAAAATGTTAAATCTGATCTTAAAAAAAATGTTAAATCTGATCTTTTAAATTTATTATCACATAAGACAATAGGTTTGCATTTCAATAATTTCAAATGTATGTTTTTTTATTATTTATAAACTTGTTAGAAACTATTAATTTATTTTAAGATAGTATGTTGTTAAAAATAATAATAAAAAATATGCTTCTATTGCTTTGGTTACAGCCACTCATTCATGCTCAAGACCTATGACTTTTTTTTCTTTCAATACATCCTTACTGTAGTTAGGCTTGGAGTAAAGATCAATGAAAAAAAGCAAATGATTGTCATGCAGTATCTTAAGATTCGTTCAAACAGGTGGAGGACTGTCTGTATCGACCAACCCTCACGTCTGTCATGAAATAATATAAGAAAGAATCAAATCCTATTAACTTAATATTACAGTTGCATCCTGGTAACATAGAAGTCTAGAACAGCAGACAGAGAAGCATTTATAATTTAAGACAAAGCCTGGAATGACTGTCAAGAGGAAATAAAAAAAATCATAGACCTAATGTAAAATTGCTTTTTAAATGACACTCAATATATTTAAATTCTCACAACAAAAATGTAGTTAAGAAAGGAGGAGCATGGAGAGGTATTGAAAGAAATAGTACCAATGTACATTGTGGTGCAATTTATACTTACTACTTCAAATGAAAAAAAATCTGGTGTATCATAGATCACACAACTTTCACTTACTGCCCACTTTGAATAAAAATTATTTCTGGCAATGTTGGGCTATGACAAAGTTTTTCAACTGCATTGTTAATAGAGCTTAACCTAATCCTTACAGCTAACTTGTAAACCACATAACTCCAGTCTCTGAGCTATTCATGCTTATAGCTTCGAAAGTACAATGTACGTTTAACCTATAAATGCTTATGGATTGTACTAAGATTAGAAATTAAACTTTTATTTTTCCATTGTAAAGTTTAATAGAATGGAATTATGAGATTTTTGTTGCCTACCATCGATAGGTCAAAAATTGTCATACTAGTAAGTAGATAATTTTGTAATTTCACAGAGGGAAAATTCATCAAATTATTCATTCATTTAATTTTCTAAAATGGTACATGGTGATTTTTGGGGAAAAACCGACGAAAGATACCCAATTATTTAAATATAATATTGGCTCTAGAGTATGAAAGTACTTAAAATAAACTAAGTTATAGGTACTTTAGAGGAAGAAATTTTGAACATTTGTTTAGCGACATCAACAGCTATAAGACCTAAATGATATAAAGGCCATTTAATCATAAATCGATACATTGAGTATAATCAAAATCATTGGAGCTGTTTTTTAGAAAACTGTAAAAATGTGGAAAATCAATGATATAAAGTGACACTTCTGGTCAGCCGATTTTCAGGAAAAAGTTGCTGAAAAGTCCCAGGCATATACTCAATTCAAATATTTATTTTTAGTTTCATTTGACTTTTTGTTTTTCAGATAGGCTACGTCACACACACACACACACACACAGATACAGTCCATTTTGCGGGACTTGGTTATTTGAACTCAGGAGATCTCAAAACATGTATTTCCTTTGAAAATTCAGATTAAAAAATTTTCATGATTGCAATGCTTTCTCTTACAATATATTACATATATAGGTAAGTGAAAGTAATAAGTAAGTATAAATTATACTCATTATTTATTAGTTATACAGTATAAATTAAGTAGATGAAATCACAGAATATATCTTTCTGGTAGTTTATACTGGAACCAGTATAAAAACAGCCATGACTTCTGTTTGACAAACCTAACCAGTGGACTTAGACAATTTTGTTTCCAAGTATAGTCTGCCAGCTGTTTGAATTATTTATATCAAGAAATGAATATAGACGAGTGACTTCTTAGATTATGTAAAACAAAACATAAAAAACACATCAGAATTGGCTCTAATTGGAGCTATATAAAAAAACTTAAGTTTTTTCTCAACATTTTGAAAATTTCTACTTTTGATATGAAACCACTCATACATCAAAGGGGCTTTGAAGTATATACATATATTTTTCAACCTTGAAAACATTCAATGTTGGTTTATGTCCGTGGTTTTCTAACCTTTATACTACTCAGCCTTTCAAGAAAAAATGAGGCATTTTAATACACCTTCCTATATATATAAAACAGTTTAAATAATAATAACTTCACTATGAAAAAGAAAAAAAATACTAAAACTTGCAATTGCAAAATGGAATAGAAAATTCTGCTCTCTTTTTGTACTTTAGGATTTGTATGTAATAACCATGCACTTTAATAATTAATTGTTATTAAAAACGGTTAAAAATCTAGAAATCATAAGGGTAAAATATATTTATATATACTGAATTAAGGATAAAATTTAGGATGCTAATTAACAACTCAATTTTATCTTATGAATTTTAATTATAAACACATGTATATCATTTTCTACAATCTTTTTCCTACAGCATTCCATACAGGCCTATAAATTAATGAAATGTATATGGCTTTAATCAATACAAAACATATAAAATATATATATATATATATATATATATATATATATATATATATATATATAAAATACAAAAACATATGAACATGGATAATATTGCATATATTTTAAAAATTAAAAATATTTTATTTCCTAATTACAATGTGAGTAAAGAAAAGTTTACATATTCCTAATTTTTCTGACACCTTACCAAGCATCTGTTGTTCCATTTTATTCTTATATATCAATTTCTCAGTACTAATCCTTTTTCATATTGCAATTAAAATATTGGAATTTGAAGTATATCTATTGCCATATTATATATTTTGGAGAATAAAGATCATATAATTACTGATAAATATAATTATATCATCATATAATTATATTTATCATCAGATGAATATAATTATATCATCATATAATTATAAGTCCAACTAATCAATGTCTTTTTTTTGGTTACCTATCTGCTAAAGAAATCCCCAAACCAATTTGAAGCAAACTAAGTTCTATCCCAGTCTAGAGACAGCTTAAAATATTGGTCTAACTACTATAATTCTATTAAGTAATCATTTTTAAGCTGTTTCACCATTTTGGATACATTACTAATATTTATTTATTCAGATCTAACTCATCAGATCTAAACTACTGATTTATAATCAGAAATATTTGCCATGATACATTCAATTGAATGATTAAATGAAAATTTACTGTTTTCTCATCTGTTGAGAAATATCAAATAAGATTATGATGAAAAAAAAAGTAATAATAATGATGATTGAATGACATAATACTGGCACTAGCAATATTTGGCATCTATCTAGCTTCAATGTGAAAACAATGCTGTCTTTAGGAAACTACTTTGCTCAACTAATTGAAGAAAATTAAGGTCTTTACAAGGTTCCAATGACGCCACAAGCAAGCCTTGATCCAGCATGGCCAGTGGTCAAACTGTCAGGATGTCCTCCTTTTCCCAAGTCATCAGGATCGGAGTGAACGACAACAGATCTGCCAAGCACAGAGGTGGGACCAGTGAGACGAACATGATGATCATTTATGACGAAGCTAGCAACTCCACGCTCATCAGCCAAAATGTTGCCAAGATCTCCAGCATGCCTATTTGCATCTTGAGGAGCTCCATGTTGTTTCTGGATTAAAGAAAATAATAATAAGTCATTAAGTTTGTATATCTTATTACTTAATGTCTAAGCCCTGGATAGTAATAATTTTGAAATTTTAAAAAGTTATTAGGAATGAAAGTCTAATACAATTCTATTTTGCAAGAAGTAATATTTTTATGTGCTAAGCATTCAAAAAAAGATAAAACTAGTATTGAATTTATTGATTAAAATAAAGAAATAAAAAAAAATCAAATATAGTCCACAGTCTTTAATAATAAAAAGTATACTAATTAAAATGAATGTAAGGAATATTTAAAAATATTTGTTTAAATATAAATTGAATATCATGATTTATAATGATTGTCTGTAATTGTTAGCATTAAATCTCTGTAAAATTTATTTGAATGGTAAAATATTATGACACTACACTGATGAGAAAAGTAGCAATGCTATTTTTTCATTTACCGGTTAGTACTTTTCAAAAAATAAAATATAACAGCAACAACTTCAATCGGTCACTTGGAAGAAAACTTGATGTATAATTTATTTATTTAGTTATTCGACTAGAACAGACAAAACAAAAGCTAACAAAATAATTGAAACATAATTTTGTTTTTGCATATTCTGTATTGCTATTTTAAAATTCATGATTGTGTATAGTTGAAATATCATTCCCTATATTATTTATATGAATACATTATTTCATTCGTTGTTAACTTGAAATAAAAATATTAATATTAAATTATTACATTGTGTGGGTTGTAATGGCCTAGTGTTGATGCACATCCCATACTGACATCACCCTTTTCATGAATATGGAAGCCATGTTGGCCTGGTGACAATCCTTCAATGACTCCAATCATCCGTACCTTGTTGCCGCTTTCTGTAAATGTTACATTACCTCTTGCTGCCCCAAATAGAACTGCGATTGCCCGCCTTTCCTGTAACAAAGATAATATTCTATGAAGATTACTTTTATAATTTACCAAAGAATTCATTGTAAGATTTTACATATATAGTCAAATGTAATGAAATAAGTTAATTATTTAACAGAGAAGATTATGAAATGCAGAGACATTAATTTTCATATCCATTGCTGTATAAATTGACCTCAAACACATGTGTATTTGAAAATATTATGTAGAAAGTATCATTCTGGCAGTTAAATCCTCCATTGTTTAATTGTATTTATCATTATTGTTGACCGCAATTTATGAGATAATATTTTAAATAGTACAATCTGGATGGTCAAGTAGATAGAGTTCTGTCTTGATTTACTAAATGAACACCTTAATCTTTTTTTCTTGGCAGAACACTACTGGGTTATATCAAGTCCAAACTATGACAGACCAGCTTCTGCCCTCGTAATTCTTTAGTATATATAATTATTTATTCTTGGCATTAAACATTAAAGTCCTGTCCATTAACAGATTCAGGATTTAATTTTGGGGACTTCAGCCCGAAAGATTTTTTTTTGTATGTATATTTTAGGATAATTACTTCAGAAGAAAGAAAGAAACTAACTACCTTTATGAAATGGTGTTTAAGTGGTTCTTTAAGTTCTATTAAATATAATTAGAGGAACAAAAGTACTTCTACATATATTTTTTTTTGATAAAATGTGGTTATATTTCACCATTTGAGAGGGGAAGAAGGCTTCAGCACAAAAGCCCTACTCCTCCTCTCCCCCCCCCCCCCCCGTAGATCCGCTCGTGGTCCTGTCCAGAATCTCTGACACATCTTTCTCCACTCTCATCTATCCCAGATGAGTATATGCCTTATTTTCCACATCATTTCCATACAAATATGCTTTAAGATTGTTTTCCGCCTCGCTAGCCATCTCAGACATGGTCTTATTCGGTCACTCCTCTAACGTCTGAGGATTATCTCTCTGGGCATATGTGTCACACGACCTATCCGATTTAGTTGTCCTCACAATTGAGGATAAATCCAGTCTCACATATGTCTAGCACTACTCCTCATTCCTAAAGGTTCTTTACTACCCATATTCGTACATCAAGTCATCCTGCGGAGATCCTTTTAATACATACAAACAAAACAACGAAAAGTCCTACTAAGTAAAATAATTTTAATCAGGAGCATTGTCCTGATCAAAAGGGCTGTGTTTTTTCTCTTCCGCCTACCTACTTTTACTGAGTAGGCGGCTCCGTTACGCGAATCGTGATACTCCAGCTAGTTTATTTTTCTGAGTAAGAGATGCTAAATAATTTTTTCCTATCCGTTCAACATACGAAAGGGCAAAAATTCGTCGTTTTCATTATTTCATTTTCTACTAACTTCGTCCAAGAAATACTAGAAGTAGATATGACAAAGTGAAAGTCCTATATAACAATTTTTTAATCTATCAGGACCCAAGTTACGAAAAAATTCATCCACAATTTTATTTATGAAATAAAAGGCGTATGCATACTAAATGTTATACTTCCTTGCTAACGTTTAATTCTAAATTAATAAATAAAATGTCAGGTCACTTTTCAGAAAAACAGTTATAGAAATAATTAAACATGAGAAAATTTACAGATAAGCAAATATTTATTTATTTTGATTAATAAATATTCAAAGTGGTTTATTTATAGAATTAAAATAAGCATGGACGATTGATTATCAAGGTTCATCATAAAAAAATAAACCAATGCATGTTTTCAAAGTGAAATAAGCAGTTCATTGCTAATAATATAATGGCAAGGTTTCGATATTTTATTTTGTCTTGTTGGAAATCTAATAAAGAAAAGGTTTTATAATGGACTATTGACCAAAAGCATTAAGGAAGGCGGTGTGCGTGGACACCCACATATTTTCCCGGCCTTTTCTCTTGGTGTACTAAAGAGACATTAAAAATAAAGATATGTTTGGCAAAGTCGAGTCGTGAGGACAATGAACATGGAATGAACTGAGGATAGAATCATGGAACCTCAAATAAATCGTACCAGCAGTATCGGAGAAAGCTGCTGAGGTGGAGATATATATATATTTTATTTAAGATTTTTAGTCGTTTTTTTGTTTTTATCTTGGTCGAATTTAAAGGTTTATTATTGAATTAAGTTTCTTAATAAATCAAGACATCAATCTAAATTTATTCCTAGAGCTGCGTGGTTAGGCATATAGTCGATCCTAAAATACATATGCTAAATAAAACTACCTATGCTTGTTAAAATTGCTTTAAGGAGACTATCGTTGGAGCAATTTGGGTGCTAATCTAAAGAAAAAAGCGTATTTTGGAAATTTTGCAGTCGCTATTACTCACATAGTACACAGATATTTTTGGCCAAAAAAATTACAAAGTAAAAAATCAAAAAAATCAGTCCACTCTTTTAAAAGATAATCGTGAAACAGGAACTGATATGTAAATCAATGTTTTTCTTCAACTCTAGATGACAATAAACATCTATATTTATCTCGTATTCTCCATGAGATGTATCTGGTTTTAATATTTAATTTAATATTTAACTGGTTTTATTTCGGATTGATCTGAGAATGGCAATGAGACACAGAAGTGGATTTTGTGGGATCGAGGTTCGTAGGATAATAAGCCAATTTTACTCATTATGATGAGAATTTGAAGCGTTAAGTAGAAATGATTTTACCAGAAGAATTTGAGGCTACCTTTTCAAGATCAAATAAATCTAATAATGACAATGTGGATTAGTTATTAAGTAATTGAACGATCCATTATAAATATTAGTATAACCACCAAATTACTATTATCCTGCCTATACATAAAACTATTATGTATAAATTAGATAAAATAATTATCAACATTAACCTCAATATTTTTGTTAATTAATTTACTTCACTGAAATAATTAAATGTACTGGATAAATTAATATTTTTATTCATTTATAAAAATTATTATGCACTGCTGGTAAATAATTGTTTATAGTACATGTTGGCCGAATTTAATGATTGAAAAATAAAGCTGTAGTTATTCAGAAAACGTGTGAATACAAATTATAAAAAAAAAAAACATGTTTATTTGATTTACTATTTAAAAAATGCTGCTAATTTTGAATGAGTCTAATTTTTTTCTCCTAAAAATCTTTACTTCTCATGTTTAGGAAACAAATATAATTATGAGGAAATGCCTAATATCTTTCTACAAATAATTGGAGTTTAAAAGACAAAAAAATCTGAAGAAAGATTTATTTTGAAAATTAAATATTTCAGATGAAGGGACAGCTTTTTGTTACCTTGAAAATAAATTTAATGTGTTCAATGTTTTTCGCGTTAACTTTTCAAATCGTCTTATAAAATATCAATGTATATGAACTTTTGCATCCAACCATCAATAAATCCTGAATTCATCTGCAGACAAGCATTCCCATACAAGAACTTAGGCTGATATTTTTAAATTTTAGTAATTTCCAAGCTTTCTCCGCACCAATAAACCGTAACAAAATTTTATTAGTTGATCCACACATATGAATAGTGTTTGCTATAATTTACAAAACTCAATACTCTGATCTTAATTAAAAAAAAAAAAAAACAACGCCAAAGTTAAATAAAAATTTTTATTGTTCCTTAGATTTCTTCTCTGAGATAAGAATTCCATAGATTTGAAAGGAAAACATAATGTTCAAGTCTTAATTAAGATATTTTTCAAAAGAAATATTCACAATAGCACTCGATATTCCTGTTAATCACAGTAAAACTATTATTGATTATGGCGTAATAGGAAACTAACTTAATACCATTTCTGGGAGAATAATAATTGGGAACTGATGACCGTTTAGATTTGAAGTGACATCTTTATCTTAAATAGTTGTCCAAATAATGATCAATGTTTAAATATGTTTTGTTTGGAATTCCTACTACTGATAACATATTTCTAAAAATTAATATTGTTTAGTACCGACTGTAAAATATAATAGAAGTTCATGAACTGAACCTTCTACACTATTTACCAGTACACATTACTGTAAAAACGTATGAATGTTCTTATTAAAAGTTAACAGATGAGAACAAATATGTAATAATAAAATATGCTAACAAAACGAATAAGCTTATTTTTTAATGTGTTCAATCAATTTGTTATAAATATTTCGATTTTTTACCTACTCCTAATTACTGTCGGATAATATTGTTTTTAGGGTCCAGCGATAATACATGTATGACTAACAGGAAAAAAAACCGTCTATCCTCGATTCCGAAAGAAGAAAACTATATTACTAATTCTTGATAATGATTACTAGAATTATCAACCATTTGTCATCGATAGATAATTCCGGTATGGCGTATAATGACAAATTAATTAATGAAATCATTCCATTCAATAATTCCTACCTAACTAACACCACAAAAATGTCACTCTGTATTCGGTTTAGTGAAATCCATCAAGAACTAACGCAACCAGTTGAGATACGCTCTTCGCTTCATTGGGCATTTAGAGTAAGCTAGAACTCTGTTCACTCGCTGACACATATTGATTATTCATAAATATATTTTAGTTCGAAAACGAATATTTCATTTTGACACAGATGGACTTAAAATTTGTGGTCAACTTAGCAGAGGTCATAACGTCTAATGAAGTTTTCTACGTGCAAGTTTTCATTCATATTACCATTGTGAAGATATAACGAAAAATACTAATCCGAAATAAGTGGAAGCGTATGCTTAGCCTTAGACATTTGGCGCCTCCAGGCAATGACGTCATCTCATCCCACCCTGAAAAAACTTAATTTATTTCTCAAGCTGTATTAGATTATTTAATAATAGTATGTTATTGTGGATTACATGGCATTTTATGAAAGTTTCATATGTCTTCCACTTTTAATCCCTCAAGGTCCCTTAAAGTTTTTCCGAAAATCCAGAAATAGCTTGCCTCGAAGACCAAAGGGTCTATAAAGTAATTTAAAGTTAAATTAAGGGATATTAAAATATTAAATATTTTAAATATTAAAATAAGCGATGGACAAAAAGGAAGACTTAACGGATTTTTCCACTACACAAGAGATACAACAGTGGAAGAACTTTTTTTACAAATGTCTTCAAGTTGATTGAAGTGACGTAATTGGAATTAAAAAGAAAATAGAATAGAATAGTAATTATTAGCTGATTTGAGCCAGAAGACTATAATATTTAAAAATTTCATATATTAAAAAAAAAAGAAATCATGAAAAAGATATGTTATTATAATCATCAAATGCCTGAGGTGAATAGAAGCCATCTGTAGATATTTATTTCTATTACATTAAAATAAGGTTCTCTTAAAATAAATTACTATGATTTTACACGGAATTGGTCCAAAATGTAAATATTGAAAGGTTTACGGTGGTTTAAGTGTAATCCAATACCACAATGATAATCTTAAGTGTCATTAAATAGCTTCATTACTCACTAAATCAGATCTCATACATCTGGTAAAAATTGTTGAGGCTTTTATGACTCTTATTATTATACATATATGAGTTGAGGCTTATTATAGATATATGAAGTTAGTGTAGTATTCTTATTTTTTTTTTTTAGAATAACTGTTAAAAAAAATTATCAAATTATGGATAGAATTTTTTTTCCATTTTAATATATGTGGTAATAATAAAATTATTAAAATTTGAAGAGAAAAATAGTGGAAAATCGTAAGGCTTTATTTTTACCTGGCGCTGTTCTACGGAAGATTTAATATAGCAAGCTGTTGGATTTATGAAAAATACGAAGATGCTAAGTATTCCAAGAGTGCAAACTCTGAAAACTGTGCTTGGCTTCATGTTCTACACTGCACTGACCGAGTATTCAACAAGAATCGTATTGGTTTTTGGTCCATATCACATTATATAGAATTAGATTGATATACAATCTTCTGAACACTGCATATCAGCAGTTTCTGCCGGACCAAAAGAAAAAAATGAATGGATTACTTGGTTTAAAAATAATCTCATGACTGATTTGGAAATGAGTAATGATTATCCAAGCATTTGTGACATGTTACGTAACCCTTTGAACTACTGTGTTTACTTCTTGTAGTACACTCATTATCTATATTTATCACGTTGTAGTCCGCGATATTTTAAATTTAGGAGACTGAAAATAAACTTTCTGGGAATAAATTATCTCTGAGTTGGATTTTCAGCAGACATTTATTCATCCAATGGCTGAGCTGTGAAGCTTTTTGGTTACCAATACAATTTCTAACAATACAATTACGATCTTTATACAAGTCTTAAATTTCAAACGGAAAAATCTATTTATTGCCAAAAACTTTTTTTTTTTTTTTTTTTTTTTTTTTAATCTATTTATTGAATAATAATACAATCAGCCACTGGAGGGCTATAAGTATTAGGGCTAAGAGTTCTCATTCAAACAATATATACAAATAATAGAGAAATAAATATAAATATAAAAAGTAAATAAATAATACTGATGAAGAAAGAAAATAAAAGAAAAAAAAATAAACAATAACATAAAAAGAAACTTATAAACACAATCATACCTATATACAATATATACATTCGCCCAAGAATCTCCGAGCCAGGCTTTTTCCCCCACATGTGGAAGGCAAAGCAAGACTCCAGGAGATTCCAGTGCCACTTTTCCAGCCGCATCACTGGTATTAGAAGCCAATGGAGACTGAAAGAGGGCACTAGAGCCACAGACGCTCGGGACATGAGTGGAGAAGCTGGCCATTGCCAGGACTCCAGAAGCATATTTACAAGAGATCTCTGGGCCACTGCCGTTTTAACCTTCGTGGAGGATTGTAGGGATGAAGGGAGCTGGATAGGGATTGAGCTAGAGGATTTGGATGATGGATAAGGTTTTGGTGAAAGTTTGAGAATCTGGTTGGGATGATGTCGAGGACAAATGGGATGTTAAGGTCATGGTGTAGGGTCTTGTTTGTGACATAATATGGGGCATTGACTATTGTTCTAAGTACTTTGGACTGGAAGGATTGGATGCGTTTGATATTCGAATGTTTAGCAGTTCCCCACAGTTCAAGTCCGTAGGTCCAGATAGGTTTCAGTATGGTCTTGTAGATTAAAAGTTTATTTTCAATCGAAAGATGGGATGTCCTACTTAGTAATCTATACAGCTGGCCATATCGTCGGTTAAGTTCTTGTCTTTTAAGTCTGGTATGTGGGTTCCAAGTTAGTCTTTTGTCAAGAAGGAAGCCAAGGTAACGGACTGTGTCTGAGTAGGGAAGTGGAATTGAATTAAAAAGGATTGACGGACAGGATCTGCGTCGCAGGGTAAAAGTGATATGTTTGCATTTTGATTCATTGATTTTGATGCACCAGTTGTTGCACCACTGCTCAATCAAAGAGAGATGAGATTGTAGGTTTAGAGATGCTATTTGAGGATCTGAGTGGGAAGATAGAATGGCAGTATCATCAGCAAATGTAGCTAGAAATGTATCGGGATTGGAAGGGATATCGGAAGTGAAGAGGATATAGAGAACTGGGCCCAAGACACTGCCTTGTGGAACACCAGTCTCAACTGGATAGTAAGTGGAGAATGCGGTGTCACAACGGACTTGAAAGGAACGATTTGAGAGGTAGGATTTGAGGACTAGGTATAAGGATTGGGGTAAATGGGTTTTAAGCTTGAAAAGCAAGCCATCGTGCCACACCCGGTCGAAAGCTTGTGCCACGTCCAGAAAGGCACCAGTGCAATAATGCTTGTTTTCAAGTGCAGAGGATATATGGTCCACAACACGAAGGCCTTGTTGGACAGTGGAATGTCTTGAGCGGAATCCAAACTGATGAGAAGGGATGTTGTGGGATTCGATTATGGGTAGGATGCGTTTGAGAAGGATTTTCTCAAAGATTTTTGAGAGGATCGGGAGTAAGCTTATCGGTCTATAGGATGATGTGTTATTAACAGGTTTACCTGGTTTTGGAAACAGGATGATTATGGAATGTTTCCACACCAAAGGAAAGTTGGTTGTGCGAAGGATGCAGTTGTATAGATAGGTAAGGAATATGATTGCTTTTTTGGGAAGTTGTCTGAGGATTTGTGAAGTGAGGAGATCATATCCAGGGGATTTTCGGGGTTTTAATTTGTTTATAAGGAATTTGACCTCAGAGGGGTTAACAGGTTTTGGAGGTAGAGAGAGAGGAATTGGTGAAGAGAGGAATTCTTCAACTTCAGCAGTGTGGCTGGGATGGAGTTCGGGGTGAGGGGTGAATGTGTAGGATAAATGTTTAGCAAACTCCTCTGCTCTATTCGCATCTGACGAAGCCCAGGAACCATCATCACGGCGAAGTGGATGGGAAATGGACTGGAATTTAAGGATTTTTTTTGGTTACGTTCCAGAGGGAGTTATCACTAGCGGATAATGAGGAGAGGTAGGAATTGTAGGATTGGGTTTTAAAAGTTTCCAGTTTCTTTTTTACCTGTTTGGAATAATAATTATACGATTTCCGGTCATCAGGATGCCTAGTTCTTTGCCAAAGGGTCCTAGAGCAACGTTTGCTATGGATTAGGTCCAATAGATCTTGAGGTAAAGGATTTATGTTATGGTATTTTTTGGGACGATCAGGTGAGGATGCAGTCCAAGCTGCTTGCTGGATCAGGGTAGTGAAGGAATGCACTGCATCGTCGAGATCTTCAGGTGTTTTTAAGGAAACTCTGAGGTCAATATTATCTTCCAGTATTTGACGGAAAAGGTTCCAGTTAACTGGCCCCCTGATAAATGAAGGTGGGGATGATTTGGGAATGGGAGATGTGGAAACGGTTAGGACTAGAGGACTATGGTCTAAGGAAAGATCATCAAACCTTGAAATAGAACAGTGTAGTGATCCTAGACCTTTGTGGAGGAAAAAGTCTAGAAGGTCGGGATTGCGGTTGGGATCTGTTGGCCAGTATGTGGGTGTATTAGGTGAAATGATGTTGCTGCGATGGGAATTAAGTGCAGATAGCAATGTTCGCCCTCGGGAATTTGTGGATCTGGCTCCCCATTGCTGGTGTTTTGCATTTAGATCTGCACCTAGGAGGAAGTGGTGTCCTAAGGAATTCAGGAAGGAAATTATTTGGGATTCGGAAATGGGTGTTTTAGGTGGGGAATATGCCGCAACTAGTGTTATTGGGTAAAGGGGTGTTTGGATTATTACGGCTGTGGATTGTAGGAAATTATGGCTTGGTAAGGGAAACAAATGATGGGAAACGGATCGATGGATAATTATGGCAGTGCCACCATGTGCTGTTCCATCAGGATGGTCGGTTCGATAAATATTGTAGCCGGGCACGTTGATTTGTCGTTTGTTGGTTAGTCGAGTTTCAGTTATTAGTGCTATGTCGATGTTTTTGTCATGTAATAAGATTGTCAGTTCGTTGATGTGGTTCCGAATACCATTCGCATTCCAGAGGAGAATGGAGAGGAATTTGGTTGAGGACATTTATGGATTTCTTGGCAGTGGAATGAGGTTGGATATAACCTTGGTAAGTAGCGAAATAAGGGGGGTAATGAGAGATCTAAATTCGGAAAGGAAAGATGTCAATAGGCTTGTGAGGTCAGTGGAATTGGAAGGAGGAGGAATGAATGTGTGAGTATTTAACCTACGTTCAGGGATGGAGGGATATGGGTCTTGAGGTTGATGTGTGAATTCTTGAGGTTTAGATTCTTGTGGCAGGGCCTGAGATTAAGTGTTTACACTGTCTCCTTTGAACATCTGAGCATAGGACACTCTTCCGTTCACTGTTCTATAGGGTTGTCTTGGTGGCCTGGATGTCCCTTCTTCTCTAGGCGTTGCGTACATTCGTGTTTTCAAATCTTTGTAAGTTTGACAACCCTTGTAGTTGGCTGGGTGTCCTTGGTGGCATAAAGCGCATACTGCAGGTGAAGTTCTAGACTTCCTACAGTCCTCTGTTTTGTGTTGCTCACCACACCTCACACATCTAGGAATGTGATGACAATACCGTTTCGTATGGCCATAAGCCTGGCAGTTATGGCATTGAACGATGTCGCGCTTGCTGTAGGGCTTTTCTACAACAACGCTTGTATAATAAAGGCGTGTGACCTTGTAGATGTTTTCGACATCAGATTGCCAAAAATAGGTCTTGATCTTGCACTTTAGGAAGACCCAGACTTGCAAGATTTGAGCAAGAAGAAGCTACCTATGAGCCTCTTGCCTCTTAAGCGTATTAGAACCACATCATATTTAGTATCTCTGTACATCAGAACTGGGTCTTTCATGATAATTTCTCTGATCGGTTATCAGAAAAATTAGTCTAATTGAATTGTGTGTTTTTTTTAAATGACATATTTAAAATTTGAAAAAAAGAAGTTAAAATCGGTAGTAAAGACATGTGAGTCTACACACCAAATTTTTTTATTTAAATAATTGGTGGCATTATACTCAACAACTCTTCCATTCCAAGGTGGGTGCCTATCACTATATTTCTTGACATTGCCTTTAATGTATTGTCAAGTTAACTTTATTAATTTGGTTGGACTTTAATATGTCAATAAAGCATCTTGATGTACCTATTCCGTAGCGTTTTTGTAAGATCTAAAGCAAAGTAAAATTTTAAATAAATAATAATTAGCCCATGCGTAACTGCAAGACTCGTGCGAGATTCTTCCGCTGGACCTAGACCAAGACTGAGTGCGCAAGACAAAGACTCGTCTTGGTCTTACATTTGGGCAATACTAATAAGCATTCCATAGCATTGACTTTATTTAATTGACTGATTAAGATATAAACAAACAAAAATTAGAAAGAAACATGTTTTACTTGGAAAAAAAAGTGATCGACTTTAGAACTAAAGCCTCCTCCTCCCAAAACGGTAAAATA